TTAAAAGACAAGAGAACTAAGCCTATGGTGATTGTTTCAATCCTTAGATGGATTTGTGGAGTTTGTAAAAGGAATCCGACATCAAAAAAGCCAATGGGTTGAGACATATATGCATGTTCGGTTAGAGTCTCATTTACGAAAGCATTGTGCATATCTAAGTGCTTCACTTGCCAACCATTTTTTACTACCAAAGTGAGCACACACCGAATTAAGATTGGCTAATAAACGTTTCTCCTTAATTTACCCCCTTATGTTAGTGAAACCCTTTAGCCACCAACCTAGCTTTGTATCTCTCGAGGTTGTCGTTTGTTTTTCTTTTGGTTTTAAAAACCCATTTACCGCCAACAATGTTCATAGAAAGGGGAGAAGGGACTAAAGAACACGTACCGGCTTTAAGAAGGGCGGTAACCTCGGCAAAACCACTACAAATTGTTCCCTAGTTTGATTGAAGCCTCGATTTGGTTTGATTAGAGGCAAATTCTCTACTTTGATAGTTGGATCCCGTGTGAACATGTGGATTTTGGAAGAGAGATTCGAGCTAATTTGTGCCTATAAAAGGTTGGTTTTGGCAAGGAGGAAGTGATAACAAGAAAGTAGAGTAGATTATGGGTTGTGAGAAAGAGTTGAAAATAGAGAAAAAGAGTAAAAATTGAGGGATTTTTGGAGTTTTCTCGCTCTTGTGTTTTTTGGGAAATTTTTTCGGCAAGGGTTGGTGTTCATCAAATTCGGGTTCGTGTTTTTCATTTTTAAGACAAATTGAAGAGGGTTTTGTTCTAATTTGCATAGGATTTTGGTTTTGTGGTTGGGGAGAAAGGAAAATCAAGAGTAAAAGGTTAAAAATCATGAAATTCCAACATCATTAAGCTTCTTGGGTTGCTACAATTTTTGGGCATTTATTATTGGGATTCATCCTCTTCTAGGTTTTCCGAGTAACTTTTAATCAATTTATTAGCTTTGATTATTGGGTTTGAACATTAGCCAAGTTTCCCAAACTTGCCACCCATAACCAATTCTCTCGAAATCAATCCCAATATTCATCATCACAAACAATTCAAGTCGGTTTTATTTTTGTTCTTCTGTCATTTTTTTCTCTTAGCTTTCATTTCTTCAAATTTCGTCATTGTAATTATTGCTATTTAATTCACTTGGTGTGAAGATTTGACCTTAGATTTTAGTTCAATCGAAATGAATTGTCCCTAATTGTTTAGTTTTTAATTCAAAATTAGAGTTTAAATTTTAGGAAGAAAATAGAAAGAGAAAGTGAAGAACATGAATAACCGGAGAGAGAGAGAGAGAGAGAGAGAGCCGAGAGGGTCACGGGCTTAAAATCCATATTTTGATCGAAAACATGAAGGAAATGGGCTTGTCTTTTGGTTTGGAGCCTAATCGGAGTAAAAAACAAGGGTCGGACCGATTTCGACCTAGTCCAATCCATTCCACAAATAGAAAAAAAATAAAATAAAAAGGGCTAGACTATTTTTAGTCCGACCCACGCCCTTTTACCCGGGTCCCCCTACCTAAGTAAATAAATAAAAAACGAGAAGGTTGGAATCAGTCCATCCTTCGCCAAAATAATAATAATAATAAGGAAGATCCAGCCTCTCTCAAAAAAATAAAAATAAAAATGAAGAAATAGAAGTAGGGAAGAAAAAGAAAAAAATAATAACAAAAAAATATGTAGAGGAAGGCAAAGACCAATGGGCTTGGGCCCCAATAAGATTTTCTTTTCATTGTTTACTTAAGTTTGAATAGTAGGGTTCCCTTTGTATTTTTAGTAATTTAGATTCAATTTTTATAGATGTTTTTTTTTGGAGTTTATTTAATTAACGTCACATTTTAGAATTGATCTTAGTAATTAGGCTATTTAATTTTTTTGATAAAATAATTATCGAGTCTCTTAAATTTTTTAGGGAATAATGATAATTTTTCTTTTGCTAATGAAAAAAAGAAAAATAAAAAATAAAAAATATCAACGAAATCTCTTATTTAATAGGGACTGTCGTGACAAAAAATTAACACTTATAATCAGAATGTTCTCCGACACACTCGGTTGTGTCAAGACTTAAAGTGGATCCGATATTTAAATCGATATGTCGATCGACGAAAGGGGACCGACGATCGTTTCAATACGATGCCACGTCCAAAACTAAAAAAGTTAATTTAGCTTGAAAAATTAGAGTTCCAAATTCGAGAATAATTTAACATAAATAAAACACTTTAGGAGATAAATTTAGGACTGAACTAGACATGGTACCTTTATTCGGAAAGGGCACTTTTGGGTGATTAAATATCTTTCCAAAAGTGTTATCAATTCCTTACCTTAAGAATTTCTGAACTAGTGTTACTTTTATGTTCTTAGTTCCCTAATACTAAGTGGTGACTCCAAACTTGTAAATAACTCTATCAATAACTAATTTTAAATAATACCTAAACTTATTTTTGGGAGTCCCGTACGACGTCGGGTAGCGACAATTCTATCCAAAAAACTTAAGCCTTAAGGCAAATGGCCCTTCTTAAACTTATATATTACCCATTTTTTGTTTATCCTTTCAATGTGAGATATGTGTTCTAACACACTCTCTTATTCGTAATCCATCTTTTGGGAATTATCAACTAGCTCGTGCTCTAAGGTTTTTGCTAGATTGTTGGATCTCTTTGAGATTCCGATATCATATAAAATTAGATAGTTGATATTGAGTTCTATTCAAAAGACTTAAACCTTAAGGTGATACTCTCTTCTCAAACTTATATATTACTTATCTTTTGTTTATCTTTTCGATGTGGGATGCATACTCTAACAAGCCCAAATGAAACAAAAGCCCTAAATTAACCTAAACTCGAACTCATATTCTAGAACATAATAGTTCTAGATTTCTCTTCTTTCTTCCTACAAAATATCTCATTTCTAGATTTCTTTTTTCTCTTTTTATAAAATATCTTATCTTTAGAATTTGCTTAACTTCCACCTTACATCATTAATGATGTAGACTAAATGTGTTATTAGGATTTGTTTCCAACTAGTATAATACCCCTCTCATGCATTTGATTTAAGCTAAAAGTTAAGAAACAAACAAATAGCTATATGGAGCTAGTTAGGAAAGAAGAAAGAATTTTGTTTGTTTGAATGGTGTGCCCATGATCATTTTCAATGTCTGTTCGAATCTCATTAACAAACAAAGAAAATACAAATGTTAGACTTTTTTTTTTTTTTTAAAAAACTAACTTAAGAATTTTGTTTGTTTGAATGGCATGAGATAGAATGTGTAGTGAGATGATTGTGGTCAAATCTAATAGGAATAAAACACTATAATGATTTAAAGTATGCTATGCACTTGCCATGTTTAATAGATCCTGTATTTTAGAAATAATCATTCTATGTTCAAACGAGTTGTAAATGATATACAAATATTTATAATCAATAAAATAGTATGTTGTGGTATTTTCTCTTCTCAAATTTTTTGTGCTTAAAAAATTCCAACACAAACCTCCTTTAGCAAACCTAATAAAGTTCTGCTAATACTAAAACAATATATAAATAACAATTACTACTAATATTAACACCGTCATCATCTTCAAATTATTTTCTTAAAATCTACTAAAAGAAAAAAAAACCTAACAAAAACATTCATAGATTTGGTAAATCATTGTCTTTCCGACAATATCTGGTCCTTCTATAGATGAAAAGTAGAGCTCTCTCAACTTTTTAAATAAGAGTTTCTTAAAATAGGATTCTTCTTTTTTTCTTTTTTTTCTCAAAACGCGCAAGTAGACGAGTCTCTTGCTATCAATGGAGAACATACCACACAACCATACTCCATTGATTGAAGATTTTAGTCATCTAGCACAGTAAATGGATGTCTATTCATTTTAAATAATAAGAAGAATCTCAAAATTTTTATTTAAATGATCTAATCTCTCATATTTTGAAACATAAAACTCTTATTTAGAGAGAGAACCATACCTATAAATCAAACATGAAAAGATCATGTCTTGATAGTGCGAAAAAACAGAAGAATGAAAAAATATCATTCATAAAAAAAAGTCAATAAAAAAGGATTGCGGCACGTCAAAAGTAGCTTACGACAATCCAAACTAGAGCATAAGAAAAAATAATTTCTTTATGATCGTTAAAAGAGCGGGATGAGGAGGGGGAAGTAGTTCTTTTTACACCACCATCATCATTAACTTAATAAAATTTTTAAATTTTAATTAATACTTTTTTTTTTTTCATGTTATGAGACACAAATTATAACACCAGAGTATACGGAATAATTGATCGTAAATGACGTAATTATAGCTTCTTTTTTTAATAATAAGCAGTCCCATGTAGATGGAAGAGCCACCCAAGATCCATAATCTCTTAAATTTCATATTAACCCTATTTTATAATAATAAATTTGGACTAACTTTACAAACGTAACCCTTGAAATTAATTTTTTTAAAAAAACAAAGACGTAAATAAATAAGTAAAAGATTAATTTTCTAACGAATTTGTCGTATATAGAATTAGTACACCAATCGTTACTGCTTCGTTTTTAGATTACTTGTACGGCTACTATAGATGATCCATGTCATTCAAACCAATCCCAAGTAATGTAACTTAAATTTGACCAGATTATGGCATAACTTATCTAGATATTACCATCAAGACACGGTTTCTAGTGATAATTAAGAAATTGCTAATTTAGTTAAAAAAAGCAGTCCATTGTCGACTAGAGGCTAGACATATTTTGACACTAATTTAATTTGAGAGGTGGTTGTTTTAATTTGGATTAATGTGAAAATTACCTCAACAATATTATACTAATTAACTGTAGATTTCAAAAAAAAAAAAAAAAAAAAAACCTTATTTATAGATTCAACTGCATGAAAATGGAATGCAATTGGCCTAAAGAAGAATAGAACATCAAACTTTCTTTCCAAACTCCTCACACATGCAAAAGTGAATCAAATATATCTCTTCCTGATCACTCCTCGTCTCCTCTAATCTTATCAGTTAGGGATGGATTCTGGCACAATTCCATATCTTAACACTGCCGTAACAGGTGTCTTGTTCCTTGTACTTGTCTATTGCTACCATATGACAAGCAAGAGGAGAGCTGCCAAGAGCAAAAGGGCACCTGAACCAGCAGGTGGATGGCCTATATTGGGCCACCACCAACTCTTAGCAGGCTCTCAGCTTCTCCACAAAACATTAGGAGCCACAGCTGACATCTATGGTCCAATCTTCACCGTAAAGCTTGGGTTGAATCCAACTTTGGTAGTTAGCAGTTGGGAATTGGCCAAGGAATTGTTCAGCACCAACAACCTGGCTGTGAGCTCTCGGCCACCTTTTACAGCTGCTAAATACTTGGGCTACAACTTCGTCATGTTTGCTTTTTCTCCACAAAGTCCATACTGGCGTGAAACACGCAAAATAGCCATTTCAGAATTACTATCAAACCGCAGGCTTAATCAACTGAAGGATGTCAGGATTCATGAAGTAGAAACATCTTTAAAGGAGCTATACTCGCATTGGGATGAAAAAAGAATGACTCAGGCGATGTTGACGTTGATTTGAAGGAATGGTTTTCGGGCTTAACTCTAAATGCGATTCTTAGGACGGTTGCAGGGAAGAGGTATTATGGCAGTGCTGTGGCTGATAATGATAAAATTAAAGCACAGCAGTGGCAGAAGGCTGTGAGGAAATTTTTCGAGTATTTAGGGATGTTTGTTGTGAGGGACGCTCTACCTTTTCTTGGGTGGCTGGATATTGGTGGCCACGAGAAAGCCATGAAGAGAACTGCAAAAGAAATGGACATTATTCTAGAGGAATGGTTGGAAGAGCATAAGCGCAAAAGGCTTTTAGGCGAGGCTGATCAAGCAGAGCAAGATTTCATGGACGTTATGCTTTCGGTCCTTCCAGGCGCTGATCTTGCAGGTTATGATGCCGATACAGTAAACAAAGCCACATGCTTAGTAAGTTTAATTGCATTGTCTGTTTTTGAGATTACTGATTGATTAATTTGTAAGCATGAGCCTCTCCAAAAATCCTATCAGTATTCTGAAAAGTTGCAATTGAACACATCAAAATGTTAACGCGAAGAATTCTGAAATGACCTGAAATTATAAAGTGATTAAACTCATTTGAAACTTTAAAAATTATTTTAACACACATTAAAAATTATATAATTAAATCAAAATTTTTTTTTATTTACAATCTACTTTCTCTGATAATTTGATGGCTCGAATTCACTATGGATAAACCTTTCTCTTTCTTTTCAAGATAAAAACTATGAACATAAGATCGGCTCTCTCTCTCCTCTCATCTCTTTTTTTTTCTCTCTCTCTCTCTCTCTCTAATTAATTTATACGAGAAACTATAGTTAAATCTCACCCGTATATACCCACACCTGCTATCCATTGAAAATTAAGCTCGTATGCCCAAACCCCCATTTATAGGCATAACATCCCAGGTAGCCCAACATATAATTAAACATAAAATAAATTATATAGAAAATTAGACCACAGATGAAAGTAGCACCTTGCAAAAACAGAGGAATATATGGGAAGAACTGTTCAGTATTGAAGCCTTAGCCCAAACCTCACCAAGTATTTGTAGGAGTATTTTTATAAAATATTGAAAATTTTATATTATGTTATTAAGAAAAAAAATTCGTTAATAAATTTTCATAGCAGTCAAGAACGGTCACAAATGGTTATTTTTCATAACAATCAAAAACAGTCATAAAACATTATTTTTCATGATAGTAAAAAAAAAAAAAAAACGATCCGAAATATTTATTTTTCATAAGGATCAATAATAGTGAAAAACGATCAGAATTGGTTAATTTTCATTGCTCATCAGTCGAACTAAAACTGAAATTGGTATATATTAAATCAAAAGTTTTTTACAAAAGAGAACTCTTTACAAATGTAAAAAACTTAAAAGACATAGAAACCGACGAGCAAACACCAATTGAAACTTTAAACATTGAGAGACAAGATGTGCATGTGCCCAACAAAAGTGAAAATTGAACCAAAGATAATTTATTAGCCTATCGCTACGCTTTCTATTACCGCTTACAAGCTATAGCCTATTATATTTCAAGTGTTAAAACAATTTGAGAGACAATGGTGATAATTTGTAAAAGTATTATTATTGCATGTGTTTGTTATGTGGTTCCAGTTGGTATTTATAATCTTCGCATCTTTCTATATCGTTCTTTACTTGCCACTTTCTTAGGTTGTAACATTTCATAACTTACTACTTTGAGTTGCAATGCTTCATGTTTACCTTAGATTGTAATACTTCATGTCTAGTATTTCTATTCATTTGTTGCAATGTTTTCACATCCATATTATTTTTGGCTTATGCCCTAGTTGTTTGAGTCATACTCACCGCTTTAAATCTTGTTACTCTTCTATTTTTTTAATGGGCTTTGACTTTCCACATTTTTTGTTCATGAACCTATCCCATTTGGAATTATATTAAGTCTTAGTGTCTTTTAGGTATAGTGCTTTTTTGGGCTTCTTTTATAGATGAGCTTACTTTGTAAACTTGATAACATGCGTGCCAATTACCTTTAATAGCCCGTGGCGTGGACTTTACAACCAAAACTTTTTTGGGGTTCTTTTAATTTGTTGAGTCATCGGGCTCCAATTAAATATAGGTGCAATAGATTGTATTATATTTTGTTGACTTCTAAGTCTTACAAGTGTTATAAACTTGTTAAACATGATAAGATAGCCGAACTTGTTATAATTTTGAGATAACGTGCAATATGTACATAATTCGTTGCATCCGAAATATCAATAAACAACATATATCTTCCTAAGAAAGTAACTTAGTTGTGCTTTGAAACAGCTTATTTCAAGATTTTAGTAAAACTATTTTGATAATTCAATCATCTCTATAATATAAAACTATAATAGCATGATTATAATAATTGCTTATTTTAATAATCAAGAAAAAAATTTTAATTCTTTATCCATTTTAATTTATAATAAATTTATTTATTTATCAAGTAATTTTATATTTAATTATGGCTAGGAACGAAGCATGTACTTGCACTTTCATAAAAAATGTTTCATCTTCTATTCATTAACCTAACATTAATTTCATTTGACGAGCTATGATTGCAGGGGCCGACGACAAGCACCACTGGTTACTTTGACATGGGTTTTGTCTCTACTCGCTAAACAACGAGCATGTACTAGTAAAAGTCCAAGAAGAATTAGACAGATGTGTAGGTGTGGAAAGACTAGTGCATGATTCGGATATTAGCAACCTCGTCTATCTCCGAGCCATAGTTAAAGAGACATTACGGTTATATCCAAGCAGCACCACTCTTAATACCCCGTCAATTCATTGAGGACCGCACTATAGGCGGTTACCATGTCCCAAAAGGCACCCGGGTTTTAGTGAACAATTGGAAAATTCAAAGGGATTCTCGTATATGGCCAAATCCATTGGAATTTAAGCCGGAGAGGTTTCTTACCACGCATAAGGATGTCGATGTTAGGGGCTATAATTTTGAGTTAATCCCATTTGGAAGTGGCGAAGGGCATGCCCCGGAATCTCTCTTGGCCTCCACATGGTGCATCTAACATTGGCTACTTTTCTACAAAGATTTCAAATTTCTACTCCGGAAAATGCACCGGTGGATATGATCGAGAGCTCCGGATTAACAAACCTCAAAGCCACCCCACTTGAAGTTCTTCTCTCACCGCGCTTGCCTCCTCACCTTTATGCCTAGATATAATAATTACTATTATTACTAGTACAATAAAACTGTTGGGCAAAAGTAAAGGTGAATTTCACTCATATATTATTTATATAGATGTAAACAAACTATTTTTATTGTGTGGCATTTTTCATTATTTCTATGACTTTTATAGTCGTTCGTCATGGTTTTTTTTTTGGTTTTCTTTTCATTTAGGTTCTAAATAATAGTAATTTACAAAAAGTAGGGATGTAAAGTATTCGTGCTTTCATACTACATGAAATTTTTAAATAATTTTCTCTTACTCAAAGTTAATGTCATACTATCGATTATTTAACCAAGTAACTCGATGTCTACAGGAAAGCGACCTCGTATTAATACTATACCGATCACATAACTACATATCTCAATGGGAGAGCAACCTCGTTTTATGAAAGCGATTTTAGAATGATTTTACAAGTAGAACTCTTAAAAACTTTAAGAAACAAAAATATAAAATAAGCAACCAAAAAGAAAAGGCATAAGTATGATTGCTATATATGATTTACTTTTGGAGAATTGGAGGGTTGGCTTGATTGGTAAGAATACATACGTGTTTCCCATATTATTGAAAAGGGTTCGAATGCTAAGGGAGATTATAAGAAAAAATATTTCTTATGAGAATGTCATATATGGTTTGAATTTTTTAGGCCAATAATATATTTATCCCATTTGGTTTTTATCTTTATAGGTATGGGGTATTTAAACCTCTTTTATGTCTTTGTTTAGAAAATAGAGTAAAATACAAAGAATTTTTATTGGGCCTTTAGGGTTCTTGTATTCTCCTATTATCAAGCTAATAAAACTTCTCTCTCGCCCGTCGAGTAGGCAATTTGTCAAACCACGTAAATCCCGTGTTTATAATTTATTTAACTTTATTTTTTGATTATTACCTCGCCATTACTTATTTTGTTTTTGGTGTTTGTCATAACAAACCGGTATCAAAGTATTGGTTGTGCATCTTTGGGCTTTTCTCGTTCATAATGGCAACTCATAAATTTGATGTTTCACCTTTTGATGGTCAAAATAATTTTGACCTATAGAGAATAAAGATGAAAGCTTTGTTATGGCTTGAAGGTTTTGTCAAGACAATTGAAGATATATACCTAGATGACATGACTTTTGTCAAAATTGAAGAGATGGATGAGAAGGCATATAGTGCTCTACAATTATTATTGTCGGACAAGGTATTGCGAGAAGTCGTAAATGAAGAGATGACGATGGGACTATGGAAGAAGTTGGAAAGCCTTTTATATGAACAAATCTTTTACAACAAGATTGTATTTGAAGCGAGGATCTTTATACACTAAACATGTCGAAGGTACGTTTATTCATGAACACTTTGATGAATTCGATAAAATTGTTATGGATATGAAAAATCTTGATATTAAACTTGATAAAAAAGATCAAGCGCTTATTGTATTATATTCATTACCTACTTTGTATGAGAATTTTGTTAATTTAATGTTGTATGGTATAGAAATCATAACTTTAAAGATTGTTAAAGCCTTTTTAAATTTTGCTAAGTCGAGACATAAGCTAAATGGTAAAGCCGTTGATTGTTAGGTCGATGGCTTGCTAGTAAAGGGAAGAAAAAAGTATAAAAAAAGTTATAAAGGAAGACTCAAATTTCGTTCTAAGTCTAGAAAACTCCTGGATAAGAAAAATAATATTAAGTGCTACTATTGTCATACGAAAAGACATTATAAATAAAATTATCCTACTCTGAAAAGGAAGGAGAAACCACATGGTCAAAGTTTTGAGTTGTTAATGTGACAAAAGCTATTAATGCTAATACCACTAAAAGTGTTCTTGGTCTATGTCGCCAAGATTTATGAGTAGTGATAGAGATAGAGTCTTGAGACCGGGAAATCAAGGAGGTTTTCAAGGGAGTTAATTGTAGATAATTGCAAGTTGCTGGTGCTACTGTGCTATAGCTAGGACAAAAATTAATTCCCTTAATTAAAACATGACGGAATAAACGAATGGTCCTCATGAGACGTGTTGATAAGGCTCTTAGGTGGTGGTGTTGGCTTTGGCATCAGACATGTCGTCATTTCTCATTTTCTATGAAGCACTCTTTTTAAGTGAATTTACAATCAACCCCATTCTATTCCCTTAATTAAAACATGACGGAATAAATAACGGTCCTCATGAGACGTATTGATAAGGCTCTCTGTCTCTCTCTCTCTCTCTCTATCTAATATCCATAAATGTTGCTTTCTATTTTGTTGTGTTGTCTTTAACCTTTTGTCTCTTTGGTAAACTCTGCTGTCAATCTCCACCGTAACACATATATAAATATATATTTGTACTTTTAGAGTGCTGTGTTGGTATCGTGCGGGTGGAAATGTGATCCTTCCATTGACAATTATCAAATTAATTACTTTTATAGAGAGTTCCATATGGTTTCGCACGAATAAATTTTTATTTCAAGTTGCTCCGGCATAAAAATTAAAGTTTTCAATGAGTTTTTTTTCCCATGGTAATAAATAATTTCTCAAATATATATAAATCATGATCTAATTTTAAATCTGAACCGTACATTCGTGTACGGGATTTCAACCGGTGTATGATAGTCTTTTTATCTACGTTATACTCGTAGATCAAAAATAACATATAAAATTATTTTAATTTGATATTTCGTATTATATTGTGTATATATCAAAATATATTAAATAAAAATTCATTCAATTTCATCATTTTTAATCAAAATATTGTATTTGACTTATTATTTTTATATTTTTCATAAATTTTTTATTAAAAAACATTATTTATTTATTTATTTCTTTCGACATTTTTAACTAGAAAATTTATAATGGTATAAGAAAAAGTCAAAATCAATGAATTCTTAGCTAAAAGCTTATTTCGTAAATAGTTTTTTCTACATTTTTTTGTCTTAAATTTTTTAAATAAAAAATAAAAAAAAAGGATCAAAGTAATCAAAATGAAACAAAAAATGGACAAAAATAAAATAAAAAATATTTATAGACTAAAAAAATATTTTAAAAAAGAAATTAAAATATAATGTCACTTAAACTTTTATAATAAATGATTTTAAAATGTTTGAAAACCGTAAAAATAACATTGTATAATGAAAAAAATAGTGCGTTTGAATCTTGACGAATAATACGAATGAGCTTTAATGAATATTGTTTTAAATAATACAGTGAATAATAATCAATCGTTTTACTCTAGTTTTTTTTGTTAATGAATATGAATGAATAGTATTTTAAATAGTATAGTATATAGTAATCGATAATTTACCTTTAATTTTTTTTTAATATTAGATTCACCTTAAAAAATTCTCTATGTTTAGGTATATATTGTCATTTGCATGTATCGGCAGTGAATTTCATCTTGATTGGCAAAGAGAGATAAAGCAATCAATAATCTATTTTATTTCTATGGAAGTTTGATCTAGCTACAACGACCTCTATTATTTTAGTCTGAAAGATATGAGATTTACTGTTAGTTTGGTATTTTTGTACTTTTAAACCAAAACCTAGCTACTTTTCATTGAAAAGCAATGTCTGAGTAATACATATTTTGCCTTGAAATCACAACATGTCTCGCTTTACAAGATTTTTTTTTTAAAAAAAAAAACCAAAGCCAGATGTCTCATGTTTTTAATTGAAAGCACAACTGCTAATTTTGTGGAGTCTATTCTTTTATTTAAAATAACAACTTTTGTCATAACTCAATTTTGGGTTCCTTTAAAGGAAAAAAAAACAAAAACAAAAAAAAAATAACAAAAAAAAGGAAAAAAATATAAAAAAATATTAAATCTCCCTAAAATCATTCAAAAAATCTGTTAAAATCTTTCACAAATCATTTTAAATTGAAATCCCCTTATTTTTAGCTAAAAATCTCAAAATTAAGATTTGATAATTAAAATTTGAATTTGAATTGATTTTGAAAATTTTTTTAAGAGGTTTCGACCTATAAAAAGCTTTCGAATTTCAATTTGAGGGGGGGGGGAGGGGGGACAAACAAACAAACAAAAAACGCAGCCGAGAGAGCCAAAAAAAAAACACAAAAAAATACCGAAAACCTAATTGGAGTTAGTCAAATGCGCCATAACCCGCTCACCAACTCGTTTACTCGATCAAACATTTCACTCTCAATCCGATCGTTTTTCGATCGGCTTTAACCCCAACCACCACACCCATGTATAGCCCATCACTAGATCGGTCCGTCAACACCGGTTAGAGAGAGAACCAATCACGGAGGAGAGAGAAATCAAGGATCAAAGTTCTTGATCCGACCCGCAAAAAGATTCGATATTTTCTCTCAACTTCGATCACCAAAATGAGATCTAACGCCACGGATCCGATCGTCGGTCTCCCACGAGTGTTTTCATATAAAATCCATGACCCAATGACATCGAAAAACGATTTAATTGAACTCGACCCGTTTTGGTAAACCCAAAAAAATTGATCGATCTAGAAAGAATTAGAGGTCCTAACCACCACGAAATCCTTCTCTCAACCTCATGAGTCGACCGGTATGCTTGGAATCTTGAAAGGAGATCGGCTTCATCATCGATGAAAAAAAGATTCGATCGGATATTTGGAGGCTTCGATCTCCCTTTTCCAAGCATCGTCTCCGATCGATAACACCATCGTTGGACTTGCAACAATCTGGTCTACAAGGTGGGGTGGTCCATGTGCTTGAACGATCACCAAAAGGTGAACGATCACTTGGTAATGACTTCTACCACCGGTGCCTCACACCATATAACTTTTGACTTGGCCAGTTTCAACACCTACAAACCGGACATGGGCAACAATCAACTCTAGGTTGGCAATAGTGAGTTTTTACCTATTTTACACATTGGTTCAAATCATATTAAAACTCTAGCTAACAATCTTAAATTACTTGATGTGTTACATGTCCCATAAATAACCCAACCTTTGTTATCTCGTTAAACTCCTTGCTAAAGATAATGATTTATTTTGGGAGTTTCACCCTTCCATGTTTTGTTTTAAGGATCGGGTATATAAGGCCAAAATTCTTTCCGTTAGAAGTGATGCTAACCTCTATTCCCTTCATGTTCCGTCTCTCAAACCTAGCTCTACATCCTTTTCAACAAACGTCCTCGTAATTGTTTAGCACTCTAGAATGGGGCATCTTCACCATTGAGTACTAAACTTTCCCTTAAAATAGTATTTTTTTATCAAATCTTTTAAAATTATCTAGTCATTGCTTGCCTTATCCGTTGGAAATCTAGTCGTTTATCATTGCCTTTGTCAAACAATCCTAGCACTAGTATTTTAAACTTAATTTTCAATGATGTTTGGGGTTCTTCCCCTTTAATTTTTATTGATGGTTTTAAATACTATGTTATTTTCATCGATCACCTTTCTAAGTACATATGGTTTTATCCTTTACAAAAAAATCAGATGTTTATAATGTTTTCATTTAGTTCCAAAATCTAGTTGAACGTCAATTTAATTACAAAATCAAACAAGTCCAAATCGAATATGGTAGGGAATTTCGAGGACTAAATAAAATTTTTAAAAAATAGGAATTTCCTATCGTATCATGTGTCCCCACACACATGAGCAAAATGGTACTCGTAGGGTGACGCCATCATCATATTGTGGAAATAGGCCTCATTCTCTTAGCAGAGGCCCACATTCCCAAACAATACCGGACCTACACCTTTGACACTCGTTATTTTCCTCAATAATAGAATGTCGTCTCCTATCATCACGTATAAATCACCTTTTGAATTTGTGTTTAAGAAAAGCCCGGATTACTCATATATAAAAGTATTTTATTGCCTCTGCTTTTCATAACTACATTCTTATAGCAAACATAAAATTGACTTTAGATCCACTTCTTGTATTTTCTTGGGATATAGTCCATCATATATGGGCTATCACTATTTTGAAAAAACCAAAAATGGCTTTTTCATCACTCGTCATGTTCGGCAACTTTAGTAGCACATATTATCCAAAGTTTTAACTTATAACCACTAAATTTATCAAACAATCAAAACCCATTAAACTCTGTAAAAATAAATAAATAAATAATCAAACCTACTTCACTAAGCAAGTCTAATTTAAGAAAATCTGGTTATTCTTTCCAACATTTCTAATCTAACAAGATCCAAAAAAGACATCGCGAGAAAGACACCTTCTTGGTACAGGACATCGCGGATCCAAGAGATTACTTTAGACTAATGTGGCAACATTGCATAAGATGAAAAATGGGTGCACAAACCCTTAATGAGAATAATCATTATTCTTATGGAAAATAGAAGAAAACGCAGCCGTACACAACGAAAAAGGCAACAAGCATGCAAATGCTTGTCCTTTGCTCGATCAAAGCTTTCGAGATTGAGGCACCAAGGCGCGAAAGAAAAGACTCGCGGCCAACCACTCGCCAAGACAAAGACAACATAAACAAACATCGATAATCACCCTCAATCAAGGAAAGCACCCCATGAAATACTCGACTACTTAATTTCGAGTCTCGACTAAGCCGACTAATCAAGACTTAGAAAAACTAATGATGGAGAGTCTTTCTCTAACATGCCTTCCAACTCCAAAACTCATAGGGTCCAATCAAGGCTCACAACACCTCGAGGATAACGTGGTCGTTGAGCGGATCCGTAAAGCCGAGTTCCACCAAATAGAGAGCGCTCCTCCTAAAATGAAAACTATGGAATCTTGGGGCTTGGTCCAAAGAGAACAAGATGTCATCCGAAAACAAAGAATTAAATGAAAAAAAAAACTCTAATGATAATATCAATTAGATTATCACTCATCGACTTCTATTGTTATCTATATAAATGGACAAGCTATCAAGAAAGAAGAGTATTGTACCCCACACGATACTCCTCCTAACACAAGCTACATGCTCCATCCTCCATCAAAGAAACTAGATAGAGGTTCCAAATATATTCTCCAAACATTTTCTACACTCACACTAAGCTAAATGCAAATTATCATAGACTAGCATACAAGAATTTTTTTAGCTTGATTTTATCACCTTCTAACCATTAACTAGGATATGGAAAGATCCCTCGTCCAACTATAAATACTTGTTTGTTTTATAGATACATATTGCAAGAGAACTTCTGCTCACGCTCCATGGACGATCTCCATCCTTCATCTGCCATCATGATAGTTGAGATTGAGTTCTATCCAAAAGACTTAAACTTTGTGGTGAATAGCTCCTTCTCAACTTTATATATTATTCATTATAGGTTTAATTATTCAATATGAGATATGTGTTCTAACACTCCCTCTCACTTGCAATTCTTTTTTGGGGTCCGTCAAGTGGCTTGGGCTTCGGGATCTTTGCTCGAGTCGTTGGGTCTCTTTGAGGCTCGATGCCATATAGAGTTAGATAGTTGAAATTGAGTTCTATCCAAAAGACATAAGCTATATGGTGGGTGACCCATTCTCAACTTTATATATTATTCATTATAGGTTTAATTATTCAATGTGAGATATATGTTATAACATAGAGTTAGATAGTTGAGATTAGGCTTAATCTATAAGACTTAAGCTTTGTGATAGGTGGCTCATTCTCAATTTTATATATTATTCATTATAAATTTAATTATTCAATATAAGATATGTGTTCTAACATGTTTTAAATTTGTTGAATTGAGTCAAATGAGGATTCATCAGTTGAAAAATCATTTTCATTACTCTTTTTTTAGTCGCTAACTATTATTACTGAAATCCTGAATGGCGGCGTGAATTTTAGGGGTTTTTGTCAAACATAATATTAATCCTGACATAAATGGTAAATTTCCCTTCGTTTTTTGACGAGATACGACCATCACTCAAGTCAAATTTCCCTTCGTATGTATCACTTCAAAGTCGTAGGAATTTTGATTTTAACTCATAGATTTTTTTCTTTTCAAGAGCAATTATTCAATAGCCTCAAAATTGTATGATCTTCTAATTTTGCTAAACCATCCAAACAAAAGATGTATTTACGTGCAAAAGTCATACTCATACTCATGTCACAAAACGTTATCTTCCTTTCTAATTTTGTCTGTCCAGTGGCTCTGTCAAAAGATAACAAGGAGTAAATAAGGGATATGGAATCAATAAGAAGATGATGGCATTTTGAGAGAGAGTGATGATGAAACTAGAAAACAAATCAATGGTTTCCTCCTTCTTTTTTTCCCCCTAATGTCAAGTGTTCACTTCAAAATTTGTACAAATAGTGTAAATTTTTGTTTTCCGCGTAATTTATAAAATATGTCCTCTAAAATCTCATCAATTGAGAGATCGTGTAAGTTTTATAAAATTGGGCATAATGCTAGCCTGTCCCAAAGCCAATAGGTTTGCAAATCCCATATTTCTTGTTGGTTTCTCCAAGGAAAAAATTGGTAACGTGACCAACATCTAATCACGTCACTTTCACTTTTACTATTTATTTGTTTAATTTTATCATGAATTAAAATCTTAATCTTTCTTAAAAAACTTCATGTCTCTTTCAATCAATGTTGTCTTCCAACACGAAATTGAATTTAAAAGTAGTTTTTCGGTAGAAGATAAGGGCAATTCCCAGTGGCCCCACTCTAGAAACCATATATAGTTGACCAAGTTGCTGAGGACTGAGGTTGAGCAAGGGTTAAAATTAACAAATTCTTCCATCATCTCTATATAAATATTTTTGGTTTGCTGCCAGATAGTGCACTTGATCTACTTTTCTCTATATGAGTAATTTATTAGATTTCGGTTAGAAAACAGATGATTTCCTACCCCACCAAAGATTAAAATTAAAAAAAAAAAAATAGATCAAGTGATCACACAATAATTAACCATTCCAGATCCACTCATCACGTTTGTTTATTTATTATTATTATTATTATTTTATATATAAATAGAGACCCGCTATTGATGGAGGGTGTAATGATAATTGCTTGAAAAAAAAATGATCGGAATAAAAATTTGGATGATAAATTTATTAGTATCCATTAAATAAAGTATTTAAATTTACTGGAATTCTAACTTGTTTCGAAAAAGTAACCTACTAAATAGATAATCCTTAAAATACACCTGTCTGTGTACAAATGCATCACTTGATTGCATATTACATATATAAGTTGCTTGCAATTCATTCTAAAATTTGAATAAAAATAATGCAACACTGATCATAAATTTTGGGCATGAAATTATAGCAGAACGTTGGTGATCCTATAAAATAAAAAATGACAGTTACCAAAAGAAATTATCGTATATTATAAATGAAAGATTTACGTAAGATCAAGCTTAAGTTTTCATTCACCAAGCAACCGTATTTATATAGTGTAGTTTACAAAGTTTGTTATTCACAAGGACTTGATTTGCAGAGAACCCTAGACTTGCGTTGCAGAGACTTCTATACTAGCTATACTACTGTAAAGATAGCATGCCAGCTAGAGATAACCTTAACAGTAGGATATTATCCTTATTAATAAAATAATCTGAGCTGCAATTTTAGCAGAAACTTGGTGCTTTCAATTTAACATCAAAAGAAGTGTTATTATGCTTAATAGGAATTAGTATTCCACCATCAATCCAACGGACTAATTAAACCACTATGGATCTCCTTCTTCTATTACTAAAAACAACTACACTTAGACTGACTGCTGCATACTACTCTTTTTTTACCATCTCCGAAGGAGGTCCAAATCTTGGCAGTCCAAATTAGCGCCTGAAGCTGGTGGTGCGTGGCCTATAACCGGTCACCTTCCCAAGTTAGCCGGAGATGATCATCGATCCCCACGTAACATTGGGATGGTTGGCTGACAAGTATGGACCCATCTTCACCATAAGGCTCGGGGTACATCAAGCCTTGGTGGTAAGCTCTTGGGAAATGGCCAAGGAAATTTTCATTATTAATGACTTGGTTGCATCCAACCGACCTGAACTCACAGCCATATAACACTTGGGTTACAACTTTGTCATGTTTGGATTTGCACTTTATGGTAAATGTTGGCGTGAATGCACAAGATTATAACCTCAGAACTACTTTCAAACTGCCAGCTGGGGTTACTGAAGCATGTTCGAGCCTCTGAAGTTGAAACCTCCTTGAAGCAGCTACACAAATTTTGGGCAGAGAAAAAGAATGGATTAGGCCATGTTTAGGTTGATTTCAAACGTTGGTTTGGGAAAATATCTCTTAATGTAATTGTTAGATGGTTGCAGGGAAGAGATACTGTGGTGCTGGTGTTGTGGCTGATGAGAAAGAGGCGCGGCAGTGCCAGGAGGCAATGAGAGAATTCTTTCATCTTTTGGGGTTGTATGTGGTGAGGGATGCTATCCCTTTTCTTGGTTGGCTCGATGTGAATGGAAGTGAGAAGGCCATGAAGAGAACCTCTGAAAAATTAGATGATATTGTGTCGAAATGGTTAGAGGAGAATCGAACGGAAAGATCGGGTAGCGGCGAGGAAGACTTCATGGATACAATGCTTTCAATCCTAGAAGACACAGAATTTGAAGGCATAGACTCTGATACAGTCAATAAATCCACATTTTTAGTAAATACTGGTTTTTTCTTCAGGTCTAATTTTTACTGCTTAATTATTTGCACCACATTCACTATAGGGCACACGTTGAAAAGGGCACTAGAAGAGTTGGAGAAGCATGTTGGCAAAAAAGAACTGTTATATTATGTAGGTTTCCTACCCAAAATATAAACCATTATTTGACTGAAATTAGCCGCAATCTTTTACCAAGATACATTGCGTGTCCAGTTGAGTCAAATAATAATCTTAATGAGGAATTATTATATTCTTAAGTACTTGTCTGTTCTTTCATCCTTATCCAACAATTGAATTTGGATCTTGTGCCCTTTAGCAATGGGGAAGTTTCGTGATCGTCATAGGGTGAAAAGAAAGGAGAATTTCAGTCAAATCCTGTCATGGTGAGTTCAAAACACACCTAGGAAAAATAAAAACGCATGGTGTCAAAAGAGAAGTGTGTGTTTGTTTGTCGCAAGAAATATTCCACCATCCATAGATTGATTAATTAAACCACCATGGATGTCCTTCTCCCATACCTGCAAACTATCATATTAACTGCTGTAGTACTCTTTTCCTGCTACCTGCTAAAGAGGTCCAACTCTTCCAAGACCAAATTAGCACCAGAAGCTGGAGGTGCCTGGCCTATCATAGGTCACCTTCCCTTGTTAGCTGGATCTGAGCTTCCCCACATAAGATTAGGAGCCTTAGCTAACAAATATGGACCTATTTTTACCATTAGGATAGGGATGTATCCAGCTTTGGTGGTTAGTAGCTGGGAGTTGGCTAAGGAGATATTCACCACTAACGATGCAATTGTATCTTCTCGCCCTAAACGCACAGGTGCAAAAATTTTGGGCCACAACTATGCGAATTTTGGGTTCTCTCCGTATGGTGAATTCTGGCGGGGAATGCGTAAAATAACAGCGTCAGAGCTACTCTCCAACCGCAGACTTGAGCAACTAAAACATGTTAGAACCTCTGAGGTTGAGGTTTCCGTTAAAGATCTATACAAGTTATGGTACTCGAAGGATAAAAATGAAGCAACCCAAGTTACGGCTGAATTGAAGCAGTGGGTTGGTGACATAAATTTAAACGTGATACTTAGGATGATTGCAGGAAAACGATACTACGGCGCTGGTGTTGTGACTGACGAAAATGAGGCCGGCCGATGCCAGAGAGCGATGAGGGAGTTCTTTCACTTGACTGGGTTGTTTGTGTTAAGGGACGCAGTTCCATTTCTTGGGTGGTTGGATTGGGGTGGACATGAGAAGGCCATGAAGAAAAATGCTGAGGAATTGGACAGTATTGTTGACCAGTGGTTAGAGGAGCATCGCAGGAAGAAAGATTCTGCGGGTGAATCCGTTAACAAAGAGGAAGACTTTATGGACGTGCTGCTATATGCTCTTGATGGCATCAACTTGGCTGGTTATGATGCTGATACCGTTCGCAAAGCCACATCTCTGGTACAACTAATGTCTTTCCTTTGATTTAGTGAAGTTTTCCTCTGTATTTGGGTAACTAATGGTTCAATTCCCTCGTTTAGCACTTATGTTTTATGCTTTTATGAGTTCATATATATATATATATATCTGATTACTGGAGATCATGTAAATTGCAGTCTCTCATTGTAGGGGGCACTGATACTACAACTGTGACTGTAATTTGGGCACTGTCTTTATTGTTGAACAATACCATTGCATTGAAGAAGGCTCAAGAAGAACTAGATGTTCATGTTGGAAAGGAAAGACTAGTGAACGAATCAGACATCGAGAAGCTAGCTTATGTCCGAGCTTGTGTCAAAGAAGCACTGAGGTTGTACCCAGTAGCTCCACTCTCAGGAGCCCGGGAATTCACTGCAGACTGCACTATAGGTGGTTACTATGTCCCTGCGGGAACCCGATTACTATTGAACATTTATAAGCTTCAAAGGGATCCACGAGTTTGGTCCAACCCAACAGAGTTCAAACCAGAGAGGTTTCTTGGGTCTCACAAGGATGTTGATGTCAAGGGCCAGCATTTTGAGCTCCTCCCATTTGGTGCCGGTAGAAGAGCTTGTCCTGGGATGAATTTTGGACTCCAAATGAGTCATTTAGTGCTGGCAAGTTTCCTCCAAGCATTTGAAGTCTCGCCTCTATCAAATGCACCAATTGATATGACTGCAACTGCTGGGCTAACAAGCAGCAAGGCTACTCCCCTTGAGGTTCTAATCAAGCCTCGCTTGCCTGCTTCTGTTTATGAATAGATATTCAGAACATATAAATCTGTTTTACTTCTATAATAAAGCCCAAAATCTTGTATTAGATGTGAAATTATGCATTTTGGTTGTGCCAATTGCCGTGTTGATAAGCGATTTTGGTTTGAAAATTTTGTGCTACATGCCTCAACTAGTTTCAGCGGTGTGGATGTGCTTGGATTTCAGTGGAGACACCTTTCTATTCTTCCTTTAGTGGTGGGATGCCGAATACTTCCACAAATCCAAACCCACCAACACCACCCACCCCAACAAAACAGCGCACAATAAAATCTGTGTTCCGTGCGCCGGCACAGGTAGCCTTATAAAATTTATTTTAATATTTTAATTAAATCAGAAAATTTACGCGAACGAAATCAAAATTATTTTAATAATTTTTTTTTAAAATTTCATTTGTATATTGTAGCATTTAATATCATTTGTGTTTTTATTTTTGAGTTTACATATATTTCATGAACATGTCTGATTTTAATAAATAAATAAAAATATGGAATTAATTGTTTATATCACTTAGAATCTAATTAGAAGAGTCGACAAATTAAAGAAGTATAATGGATATCAAAAGGGTGTTTGAGTAATTTACATTTCATGACCTAACATATATATATACACACTGTAGGTCATGCGATTTTTTTAGGTGATTTAATTGAAAAAATTGATTTAAAAGACTGATTGAAAACTTGCTTAAATGAAAAAGACATAATTAACTTTTTTAGGATATAAAAATTCAGTATATTGTATAAAAACATCTACGACTATTAACCCAAAAAAAAAAAAAAAAATCAAATTTAACAACCCAATTTAAGAACCATCGTCAATAAGCTTACATTGTAAAGGTTAATACATGTTAGAGCACATATCATACATGGAATAATTAAACCAAAGATTATTAATATATAATGTTGAGAAGGGGTTAACCACCACAAGGTGTAAGTCTTTTGAATCTCAATTATCTAACTCTATATGGTTTCTATGAGGCCTAATAGCCTAGTAAAGATCCTAGAGCCCAAGCCATTTGCGGCCACTTGACAAACCCCAAAAGATGGGCTACAAGTGAAGGAGAGCATTAGAACACATATCCCATATTGAATAGTTAAATCAATAATAAATAATATATAAAATTGAGAAGGGATCACCCACCACAAGGCATAAGTCTTTTGGATGGATCTCAATTTCAACTATCCAACTCTATATAGTATCGAGCCTTAAAGAGGTTGTCGCTTAACGACCCAACAAAGATCCTAGAGCTTAAGCCATTTGATAGACCTAAAAAAAGATGGACTACAAGTGAGGCCCACATTAAATAGTTAAACCAAAGATGATTAATATATAAAGTTGAGAATGGATCACCCACCATAAGGCTTAAGCTTTTTGGATGGAACCCAATCTCAACTATCTAACTCTATATAGTATCAAAGCCTCGATGGGGCCTAAAGACCCAACAAAGATCCTAGAGCCCAAGCCACTTGACAAACTCCAAAAGATGGGTCGTAAGTGAGGGAGAGTGTTAGAACATATATCCTACATTGAATAGTTAAACCAATAATATATAATATATAAAGTTGAAAAGGGGTCACCTACCATAAGGCTTAAGTTTTTTGGATGAAATCCAATTTCAACTATCCAACTCCGTAATACATAAACACTAAATCATCGGATTACATGTTCGAATCGCAACTAGTGGGTGCTTTCTCTCTCCTTCCTTTGCCTTCCAAAAATACTTCAAATTTCGAGTAAGGATGTTGTTTTATGCTTAAAACACCTTAAACAACGTCTTTTAATCATAATGAACAATCATGGATCAGAAACTACAATGAGGAGATTACCCAACCTTTAGCCCTCGTAAAGGGTTGATTAGCCATTGCCCATTCTAAAAATTCGTATGATTAACATGGTTAAAACTCCAACCCAAAGAGCAATGTTCGCCATCTTCTTGGACATGGGATGTATAATGAAATTTTTTTTTGGTAATTTCACTTCTCAAATTGAAGTTAGACTTACTTCCTTTCCTTTCCTTTTGTTTTTCGTTTTTTTTCCACATCATCATTTATTGCTTGATATTATTAAAGAATCCCGGCATCTAGTTTTTTATTATTTGTTTACTTATGATTAAAACAAACTAGCGGTACAAAAAGACAACCAAAACATAAAAAAAAATACAAACCTGCGATGACAAAACAAATATGTTTTCAAGAATAAGATGAAAGAGTTATTGATTCACCTTTTAATAAGAATATATTAACAAGAATTACATAAAGTGTGTGTGTGTATATATATATACAAGTTCCCGTACAAGTCCTTAACGTTGTGAAGTTCCTTGTAAAGATAAACTCGCAATGATAAACTTCTCTATATAGATAAACTCGCGAGTGTTAGAAGGAAGCTAAACTATAAGACTAGATAGTTATCCTTATCACCATCCCATAAGTGGTGTAGGAACTAGTTGAATGCGTAACTTGGACCATAAATGTTAAAATAGTGTTTTTGATAATGGCTTTATTAGAATATGCATAATCTATTTAATAGTGCGTAAGTAATGATTTACGATAAATCCCGCATTCTTTATCTCATACAAAGTGAAAATCAATCTTTAAATATTTGGACCATGAATGGAAAATAAAAGTGGTAATAAGATAGGTGGTGGAGACATTATCACACCAAACTTTTAAGGGTATGGGACATGATAGATCGATCTCACTCATTAGTGATTCTATCCATTCAAGTTTAGCATAAGTGATGGCTAAAGCATGATATTTAGCTTTAGTAGAGGATCGAGCAACTATGCATTGCTTCCTACAATGCCAAGAAATCAAATTTTTGCCTAGGTAGATGACATAACCTCGGTGTGCTTTTGTGATCATCTACATCACCTCCCTAATCCGAATCTATCTAGGCATTGATGGAGAAGTCGGAGGACTTCTGCAAAAATAGACTATAATCCTTTGTAGCTTATAGATAACATAATATTCTTTTGACAACTACCTAATGATTCTTTGTAGAGGCATCCATATACTAGGCAACCTTGTTCACAGAGTAAGCTAAGTCTGATCGAGTAATACTAAGGTATTGTAACCCACCCATAATACTTCGTAGAGAAAAAGGTATGAAAAAGTCATTCCTCCACTCGCTATTTAGCTTAATGTTTGGACAAGTCGGTATAAGGATACCCTTAGAATCATGTATCTTAGCCCATATCTATAAATTAGTAGCATTACTTATATTGATTTAGAAGAAGTCCATCTAACTTCCAATGAGCCTCTATCCTAAGAAAGTAATGTAAAGGACCGATATGCTTTATAGCAAAGGTAGTTTATAACGCTACAATAGTGGTAGAGATGGCGTAACCGTTGCTACCTATGATTAGCAAGTCATTAACATATATTAAGCAAAATGTTATATCTTTTCCCGAGAGCTTGAAGAACAAGAAGATGTCCATTTGAGAGCCGTGAAAACCTATGGAGACTAATGAATATGTGAGGCATTTAAACCACTATCGCAGGGCTTATTTTAATCCATATAAGGATTTCTTCAACTTGTAAACCCGGGTTAGGTGCATGGCATTAACAAAGCCTTATGGTTGTGTCATATATACATCTTCCTTCAATATACCATGAAGGAAAGCATTGGAGGCATCCAATTGCTCAACCAACCAACTCCGAGAAACAACTACGAAATAATCAATCACGAGTGCCACTAGCTTAATCATCAGTCTGTATGTATCATGATCGGGCTATATGTATCATAAAAATCACGAGTGCCACTTACCTTTGATTGAATCCCTTGGCTACTAATCCGATGTTGTAATGGTCTAGAGAACCATCAAGTTTGGTCTTGATCTTATAGACCCATTGTTACAAATCACATTGTAGGATGGTTGGTGTTTAACAAGATCTCATGTCCGATTATTTGACGAGCTTTAACTCGCTATTGCCATGGAAGTCTACCATTGTTATTGAAACCGAGCTTGGGAGTAACTTTATGGTTTAGCATCAATGATAGTAGATGAGAAAGTGCATGGCTTTAAGTAACCAATTTTCCCATAGGTGAGCATCCTATGAGATAGGGCTACTGCTGGTTTGGGGTCTAGTGCTACTGCTGGTTTTGGGTTTATAGCGGGTTTAAGTATAGCAGGCAAGTCGGTTCCCATTACCGAATACCGGCTGAGATCAACCATGAGGAAAATAAGTGCAGTAAAGGGCGGACCATGGTTTATGGGTAATAGATGAGGATATATGGTGAAGCAATGTTTTATGGCTAGTAGTGTTTGGAAGGGTAACGTGTTAGGTCGTGAGGGATATGCGGATGGACGTGTTGGGCTGACTAGTGTATGCATTTGTGCATGATGGGGGTTAGGTGCCAACTATTGCTGTAAGGTCTTGTGTATAACATTTGGAGAGGGCAAGGGTACAAGAGCTTATTCTTGTGGATTGTGGAAGACCGGCAAAGTCATAAATGGCGAAGCAAAAGGAAAAAACTTGTTCATCAAACAAAATATGGCATGAAATATGCATTTTTTTTTGGTAGATAAATCAAAACACAAGTAACCTTTATAAACTTTCTATAGCCAAAAAGTACATAAGTAGAAGATTTAGGGGCTAGTTTATAAGGAGAATAGGGACGTAGTCACGGGTAATATAAACAACCAAACGCTTTTAACTTATTAAAGGGAAGAAAAGTACCAAAAAGAGTGGAATAAAGGGAATTTTTGTTTAATGTGGGTTTAGGAAGGTGATTGATTATGTATATTACAGCATCAAAGGCATAGGTCTAAAAACATAGTAGAATAGAGGAATGGTGTAGAAGTGCTAAGCCAGCTTTGATTATGTGATGGTGTTTACGCTTAGCACTTCCATTTTCTTCTTTGAGAAATTTCACTATCATTTAAGTACTTAGTTAAGGCTTGATACTCTTTCCCCGATCGGACTAAAATACCTTAATTGATTTGTGAAAAAACTTTTCTACAGTATGCTTAAAGTTAATAAAACAGCTAA